TTTTTTGAAATACAAAATCACCAAAGTAGCAATAAAAAACTCCGACAATTAATAAGGGTAGTTAAGAATGACAAGATTAAAAGGGATTAAGAATATCAAACGTGATGAAACCGGCCATTGTAGATAGGGAGAGTAGATTGAGGACGATATGACAAACACACACCTTTCATAATAATTGGTCCTCTCACACAAATCTCTCCGTCCTGGTTTGGTCCAAGAATCTTACCAGTTTCAGGATCAACGACCTGTGTACATGTAACATAGGCAACCCAATCTTATGTGAGTGCTATGCTTCGTCGTCGACAAAATTCACTTTCATCTTAATTCTTTTAGCATCCATCATTAGTTTATTTCTAGAAGTTTAAATCATACCTGTAGCGAAGACGGTAAAACAGGAATAAAAAGAAACGCAACACTACAATTTGCTTTAAGAGTGATCAAATACTTGGTTGTCTTTATTTTTAGTGTGTTCATCTGTTTCAGAACTAATGTTCAGGTAATATGTAAACGAATTATCAAGTTCAAACTAGAAACGTGAAATGTACCAAGATGAAAATATGGCAAAGGTGTACAGCTGCATATTAATTTTTGAGTTATTTTTTTGTAAAAAAAATACCTCTTAGTCGGCGCGTCGGGTATGTTATGGACGGGTCAATGGGTGAGTGAGTGAGTGAGTGANTGTACATGTAACATAGGCAACCCAATGTTATGTGAGTGCTATGCTTCGTCGTCGACAATTGCAAAATTCACTTTCATCTTCTTTTAGCATCCATCATTAGTTAATTTCTAGAAGTTTAAATCATACCTGTAGTGAAGACGGTAAAACAGGAATAGGAAGAAACACGCCAATACAATTTGCGTTAAGAGTGTTCAAATACTTGGTTGTCTTCACTTTTAGTGTGTTCACTAATGTTCAGGTAATTTGTAAACGCATTATCAAGTTCAAACTAGAAACGTGAAATGTGCTAAGATGAAAATATGGCAAAGTTGTAGAGCTGCATATTAATTGTTTTGCCTGACGAGATGTCAGTTGCTTAGCGTTGCCGTTGTGGTTTGTGTAAGGTCTTAATTTATACAGATCACAACGTATTTCATGTTCCTCCAATCAACAGTAGCGTTATATCCTACCAATCCCTGTCGTGAACTGTAACGTACCAAACATGGCTTACCTTGCACTCCATGTTTGGAAGCAATAAACCTACGGACCCAGTCTTTATTTTGTCGGTCACGCCCAGGGAGTGAGATGCCATAGTCATTTCTGTCATTCCATAACCTAAAGAAAAGTACGTGTAAGTTGAAAAGGATAAGCAAAATACAGGCGGGTAATAAAAAGTATCATAGCTATTTATGTAATCATTATGAAGAACAAGTAAATTTCTGTTAATTTGATGTCATAAAAACAAAAAAGACAAAGACCCTGTCGAACTGCGACCAAACTCGGTAGCCTCTTGGCAACACCTATTTCCAAGTCCCGAGCGAGCGGAGCAGCCCCTGAAGAGAGAGACTGGAGACTAGACAAGTCAAATTTGTCTACCATGGAATGTTTAGTCAAAAACAGCACCAAGGGAGGGACCAGAGGAAGAGTTGTCACCTGCAGAAGAAAAAAATAAATCAACTATAAATAAAGTAAAATTAACAACAATTCCAGCAAGGAAATAAGCCAAACAATCACAGGAATTGCTTTATAAATATACTAAAAATTAAGGCATAAAATACTGCGGGAAAACACGAATCCATTGGTAAACGCGGGAAAACACAAAACCGCAGGCAGGCCGCACAGGAAAACACGAAACTACAGGGAAGCGCAGAAAAACACAAATCCATCGGTAAGCGCGGGAAAACCGTCCGAAACCACAGGAAAGCGCGGGAAAATACGAAACCACAGGAAAGCGCGAGAAAACACGAAACCACAGGAAAGCGCGGGAAATTAAAACAGGAATCCATTGGTGCCAAGTTCATTTTGGCTTAAACCTTGGCACGCTTTATTTGCCAATTTTTTCCATGTAACTTTCCCTTACGATTTCGAAATCTTGATTAGCATAAGCAAAGACGTCTGGAGAATCGGAGATAATCTCTACTGACAAGTCTAAACTGAGACCAATAAAGGAGTCTTTACATTTGTAATTTGAGTGCGAAACAAACCTTGTAATCTTGAATGGCTTGTAGAAAAGACTGTGGCTCAAAGCGTGACAGGAGGACCACCTTTGCTCCAAGATAGAGATATAAACCCATTATCAGAGTTAACCCGTAGGTATGATAGAAGGGCAACACATTCAACACTGTTGGCACCACAGGCAGGTCAGGAGGAGTACTCTGTTTGGTCACGATACAAAGTTGCGCTATCAGGTTGTAGTGTGTAATCATAACACCTTTGGAAATACCCGTCGTTCCACTTGAAAATGGCAAAGACACTACATCTTCTTTTGGGTTGATTTTCACTATTTTAGGAAATGCATCTCCATCATCTGACAGAAGAGCAGAAATCGACTCGCAGCCTTGAGCTTCACCGATGACAAACACGGAGCGAATTCCCTTCAACGTACCAGAGCTGAAAGCCTGCACTGCAAGAGAGGGGATGGTCACGAGATATTTTGCTCGTGAGATGTTCAGCTGACGAGCAAGGTCCTGGGGCGAGTATTGTGGGTTAACAGTGGTGATGACGCCACCAAGACATGCCACGCCATGGAAAATGATCGGGTATTCTATGAGATTTGGGAGATAAATGGCAAGGACGTCTCCCTTTTTAAATCCTCTTTTGACCAAGGCAGAGCTGAATCGTCGAGTTTTGTCCTTAATCTGACTAAACGAGAGGGAGCGTCCAGAAACGGCGTCAATCTGTCAGTAAAAACAAAGATAATTAATTTCATAGCACCAGTTCCCGCCCCTGACCGCCTCTCTATGTGAAACATGAAAATTCCCATACCCCTTTCTCCTTGAAAAGGGGTGCAGGTGAAGGGTGGAGGGGAACGGTTAACCGACCCATATCACCCCAAGTACCCGAAGCAAGCTGCTAGCATTGTCCCCACCCAGTTCAATGACTTAAAGATCCTGAGGCCAAGATTGGTTAACAACAACAAGCTTCTCCCGGCTACATAGTTATGGGGAGATCTAAACAGTTTAGTTTAGTCTGAGATAGGGCTACACGATTTGCTGTTTTAGTCTCAAAAGGAGATTCCATCTGCCTTTCTTTGTTCATCATGCAGCTGTCACAAACTCTAGGTAG